GCCAACAACCCCTCCTCCCACAACAACACAAATGCCAACAACCCCTCCTCCCACAAGAACACAAATGCCAACAACCCCTCCTCCCACAACAACACAAATGCCAACAGCCCCTCCCACAACAACACTAATGCCAATAACCCCGCCCACAACCACACAGATGCCAAGACCGACTCCAAAGGGGCGGAGCCTGCGAGGTGTGGTCAAACGAACAACAACGTCTTACAATCAGTGTGGCATGAAGACTGTAATCCCTCAGTTCTAAATGTTCCGGGACAAGCTGACAAAGGCGTGAGAGACGCCCCCAACTGTAGGGAACGGTCAGGACCTGGTCAGGTTTTGGATTTCTTCAAGCGAGGAAGAAAGATCGCCGATTCAACGTCACACGGGAGAGACGAGGTTGGTGGAAGGAAAAGAAACACCCTTCAACTACGAGTAACGTCTGCCCAGATTGACAAAGTTTGTTTCGTGTTTTTTGTAGCCACCAGCGTTCCATTTTTTGCTTTAGTTTTTTATATTTGATACTGCATTAAAACGGACTAAGCGCGCTCATATGACCTAAGCAGTTGCGAGCGCCGTAAAACCCTATACTACTACTACTAAACGGACTAACTAGTCTGCATGTACCTCTCGCTGGGGCGTGCTTGATACGTCAGTGCGTTTTTCAAAGTGTATGTTTGTCTGTACGCGTGTGTGTGTGTGTGTGTGTGTGTGTGTGTGTGTGGACATATTTTGTGAGTCCGTGCGTATGCTCACTGACGCGAGTGTGAGTTGGTTAGTGTGTATGCGAGATGGCCGTCTTATAAGTACGCTTTTTTTTGTTTCACACATTACTTTCAAGTTTATAATAATATTGTTTCCAAGATTTCATGTGACTGTAAGCTACAAGAGATATACTACACAACATAAATAATTCTAAAAATATTGCTGCTTTTTTTTCTTTAGTGCTGTCGTTACTTGTATATAATGAATGTGTGGTTGTAAACTTTCATCTTTATCTGATTGAACTGGTTTTCTTGTTACTTTGAAATATCTTATCTTGTGTGAATCGCTCAGTGATCATGTGATTGATGAAAAGCGCCAGGAGCTTATACTCGTATGTGATAGAGCGCTGTATAAATGCAATCTATTATTATTATTATTATTATTATTATTATTATTATTATTATTAT